GAGTGGGCTAATTAGCTCATATCTCACTACACTTAGGGTACATGCGCAGGGAGCTCATGGAGAGGGGTGAGCATATAGTATCTCGGGAGACAGCAGGCGACGTAGTTGCAACCACCCCCAAGTTTAGCGTCCCTAACCTTCTTTAATCAGTATCCTGACATTCAAAACTTTGTTTCCCAGCCCGATATAAATCTTTAATGGGGCATTTGTGCGCCACTCGCGGACAACTAAATTTTGAGGTTGCTGGCGTAGACTTGCGCCGTTGCATCCTACTGGGAACGCAGCGGTTGCGATGTGGCAGTAGTAACACGCATCGGTGAAGGAAAGAATTGCAGTGATAAACTGTTGTTTTTGGAGAATTGCTGTAGACGTCTGTAAAAAGCCATTGTATCAGCTTGCTTTCAGAGACTCGCGTAGTTTTCAGACTAGCCCATGCTTTTGCAACGGCTAAAAGAAAGGACACTACAATCCTGTTGCCAGTGCAGCGGTGCTCACAGTTTCGCGACACGGGAAAGCAGTCTAGAAACAGCAGTATATCGCCAGGGTCAGCGACACAAGTTTCTCCCATGGTAACTGGACTACCTCGGTTGGATCGGTATAAAAGATGTACGCCCAAACTCTCTAAATACCTGAGTTTGAGTTGAATTCGACGGACATTCACTCTACAGCCGTCAAGAATTACTTGCGAGCTGAACCCTTCACCGCCAAGCCACGACTATCCTGATGGTGGAACCCAGCGGCTCCACCGGCAGGGCAGAGGAAGAGGCAAAAACATAACTTGTCGCTGTACACAAAAAAGCTCATCGAGCACTGTATAATCGGGCCTTTACCACTATTTTGCGCTAGTTAAGTGGTCCGCCAGAAGTCAACTCTTCCCTGACGCTCTCCTCAGCCGCGAGTTTCTCATCTGCATCGAGTGCGCACAATGTCATCCGCGGGATTCTACACCTCAGCAGGTAGCGAAAGTCCATAAACCCTAAGCCCTAAAATAAAAGCCTCTTGGATCATCCCTCTCTTAAAAAGCTGTCGTTTCACAGCATGCTGAGGCCAACGATCGCCAATGCAAAACCGACCACACCGGGTGCAACAGCCGAGGCAGAGCCTTCGAGAGCGGTCACGATCTGTTCCCACTGCTCCTCTCTGCAGAACATACAACGAGAAACAAAAGCAATCTCCAGTCAGAACAGAACAGGGAGAAATAGAAAACGTAGGGCTTGAGAAAACTCACGTGAAAGGGGCCTTCG